GGGGAGGGGAGGGAGAAAGAAAGAAAGAAAGAAAGAAAGAAAGAAAGAAAGAAAGAAAGAAAGAAAGAAAGAAAGAAAGAAAGATAGATTATATCAAGTATAGACTGTACAAGCAATTTCTAAATTTACAGGGGCAAAGTACGTGAAAATGTTCTGGCATGCATATTTTTAAATAATGCCAGTGCATCACATATTGTAAATAAAATTCTGCTTTATCAACACAGCAATGAATTAGATTGAGGCAGTTAAACATTACTTTTGGTCATTTGATCTATCTAGAACTGCACTGGAGACAGTTCAGTGAAAATGAATTTCAAGGTGATCTGTATCATTTATCAAATGCCTGTGTAATTCTTCATTTCATTTTCGTTGCTCTGGCATTTCTTTCTGGGTTGGAAGTTAGTTGTATACATAGAAATTGCCAGAGTTTCTATCATTCCATTGAATGTACTATTTATTATTAAAAATCAAGGACATTATTTTTCTAAAAGTATTTAAATTTATATTCTCTGCTGAGGTTCAGATGGAAATATGGTTTTCTACATCAGCAAGCCAGGGTTAAGATAAGAAATAACATTGCACATTTATCCACCTTTTTTTCTACAAAAAGATATGTCTTGTCCCAATGATTTGTTATAACTGTGATGCAGCGTTAATTATTTATATAGAAAATTTATATACCACTTACTTCTTAAGAAGCTGTGATCAGATTAGAAAGGTACAATAAAGCATCCATAAAAACATTAAAGAATAACACAAAAGAAAAGCACAACATTTTACAGAAACATTAAAAGGGATGGGTGAATAAATATGCTTTCACAGGCTAGCAAAATTGTATGAAGAGGCAGCTTATTTCAACTTCAGAATGAATTCCACAGTGTATTTCCATTTGCTTTGATCATCATGAACACAAATTACAATTGGCTCATAATCCGAGTCTGCAAGAAATTTATAATCATTCATTATCAGGGGTGTCTGTTTTGTGTTCGCCCAGATTAAGTGTGAAATCATAGACAAGAAAGGATAAATTAGGAAAATGGAAAGAGTGAAAGAAAACTCATAATAGCTTCACCTTTCTAACTTTGGATAGGAAATATTATGTTTGCACTGGATCTTTGTTAATTCTAAAATTTTTATAGTCCAAGACAAATCATTCAAGATTGTTGTCCAAAGGTGATACTAAATAATGTTTGTATCTCTTTAACGATTGTGATCATCACAGATGCCGCCATATGTCATCAGTGGTGCATTTGCTTATTTCTAGGATCAGTGGTTTTGGCGAGTCAGAAATAACAGGGTGATGGATGGATACCCCATGCAGATTACCTACTTCTGGAGGGGGCTGCCTCCAAGCATTGATGCAGTTTATGAAAACAGTGATGGAAACTTTGTTTTCTTTAAAGGTAAGAAGTGTAAAATAACACTCTCTTAAAAATTCTGCTAAGAGACCTATAAAACTGTTGTATTTTGTTTTAATTCTAAATGGTAGAAGGCAGGCTGTAAAGAATTACATAAATAATTTTTTCTTGACTGAAAATATTATTAACCAAATACATCAACATTCCCAGGAAATGCCTTTTTAGACCAAAAAACACACCTGTCTTTGAATGACAGCCAAAGTTGCTTCAGATTAAAAGGCTATAGCTTAGAATTGTCCTGTGCATACAGGTAGTCCTCGATTTACGACCACAATTGGGACTGGAAGTTCTGTTGTTAAGCGATGCAGTTAAGTGAGTTGCACCTGATTTTACGACCTTTTTTGCTGTGGTTATTAAGCAAATCACCACAGTCCTTAAGCAAATCTCATGGTTGTTAAGCAAATCCAGCTTCCTCCATTTGCTTGTCGGAAGCCCCCTGGGGAGGTTGCACATGGTGATCATGTGACCCCGGGATACTGCAACCATCATAAATACAAGCCAGTTGCCAAGTGCCCATATTTTGATCACTTGACCACGGGGACACTGCGATGGTTGGAAGTGCAAGGACCAGTCATAAGTCACTTTTTTCAGTACCGTTGTAACTTTGAACAGTCATTAAATGAATGGTCATAAGTCGAGGATTACCTGTAGTTTAAAGCAGCAATAAATAACTTAGGAGCTGAAAGAGCAATGGTCCAAAGGAAGCAGGTTAAAGCTGGGTAAGCAAGATCTGTTTGTTAAACCAACGGTATATATAGAAGATCCAAAACCAAGCCAAGATTACAGGAAGAATATCTGGCTGCACTGGAGTGCTAAAAAGGGTTGCATGTAATCAGCCAGAGAACTATAAGTTTTGACAGCAAAGAGCTGGGAGCTACAGACTTAAATGCCAAAATTAAGGTGTTTCCCTAAAAGCCCAGATGTTGTGAGATTTCCTAATTCTGTAAGACCTCTGTCTTAGATGCTTACTCCATCTTGTTCTTATATCTTTAATCTTAGATATCTCATCTGGAGAAGGGCAGGAAGAAACCTGTTGCTTTACTGTAGGATGGCTCAGCCCAACTTCATCCTTGTGGTTAACTCTGAACCTACTGGTTTGTCCAGGCACCGCCCACACTGTTGCTTTACCTTCTCCCTAACTGATAATTCTTCTGGGATAAGCATGACAGGACTAATTCCCAGACATATCTTCAGTTTGTTCTGGGAACTTGTTAGAAAAGTTTTCAAGTTGTAATGCAAGGGTCAGTATCTTTTGCAGGTAGAGGGCATTATGATGTATGGCCCATGGTTACTCTTCCCTCTGTTAGACATTGCTTGGTTCCTGGTATTCAGTGTTATAGTGTACTTGCTGATTTTTAAACCTTTCTTTTCTTTTCTTTTCTTTTCTTTTCTTTTCTTTTCTTTTCTTTTCTTTTCTTTTCTTTTCTTTTCTTTTCTTTTCTTTTCTTTTCTTTTCTTTTCTTTTCTTTTCTTTTCTTTTCTTTTCTTTTCTTTTCTTTTCTTTTCTTTTCTTTTCTTTTCTTTTCTTTTCTTTTCTTTTCTTTTCTTTTCTTTTCTTTTCTTTTCTTTTCTTTTCTTTTCTTTTCTTTTCTTTTCTTTTTTTTTTTTTTTGGTACTTTTGGATCAGTCTTGACTCCTGGAGAGGACCTGGATAGGTCCCTGCAGTTTTATTGGCAAGATTTCAGAAGTGGTTTGCCATTGCCTTCTTTCTATGACTGAGAGAAAGTGACTGGCCCAAGGTTACCCAGGTGGGATTAGAACTCACCGTCTCCCAGTTTCTACCCTGATGCCTTAACCACTACACCAAACTCGCTCTCATGGTTTTTATACATAGGCTTTGATAATAGTTGAGAGTTCTTTTCATCATTTTTTTTTTCTGAATGAGAATCCTATTAAATTTTGGGGAGTCAATCCATCATCCATATTTTCCAAGCTTCAAAGATGATTACTGTAGTAATATCTATATGACCCAACAATACCGTTATTCTATATGATGGCCCAGATGACCCTTTAAAAAAAACACTAAAAACACAAATATTGCAAGATTTTAGTAAACTCACTGAGTATACTAAATATATTCAGTATTCATGAGAATACTGAAATCTCCTTTGAACATTCTCTTTCACAAGGTGTCACACAATTTTGGCATTCTGGTTCAAAATTAAATACAGGATTGCTGAAATCCATGACATTTGATGATCCTATAAAATATTGTTCATTTAAAAAATAAAATGTTGGAGTATAATAGCTATTTGGAATATAACAGTAAAAATTTCATTTGACCACCATGGAAGTTTTTTAACCAACTCTTCCCCACATACACACTGTATGTTTGAGTTGTTTGGACCAAAGGCCTGTATATATGAAGAAAGAAAATTAAGCTCCCCCTTATCCAGATACAATATTCTTAATCCAAATTGAATTGCCTTGTATTTATACAGAAAGGTATTTTTTCTATTGGGTACTTTACCTTTGCCAGTATCTTATGCCACTCTTCTCTACTGCCTTTTGGATACAGCTGAGGATACTGATTTTGGCCTAGAAAAACCTAAAATCTTCATATTATTCTTAGTCTCAATTTTGAATGACGCATTTGAAAGACATGTAGGGTATATATTTGGTAAACAGGAAATAAGTAAAATTCAATTTTCCATATTTCTGATAAAATGCTGCATGCAGCAGAAGTCAACATTTTAAATTAGAACAGTGAAATCTTGCAAGTTAGGGAAAGTTCAGAAGATTTCAGCTATCTTACTCCCAAGATTTCACATGTTCTCACAGGAATGTTGACATTTTGTAAGGTCGTAGACATTAAAAAAGTTTTTTTTAAGGGGTTTTGCAACTACACTTGTCCTAAGGATACATTTCTAATCTCTGTTAAAATCCTTAGACTTTATTGATTTATGAAATCTGTACCCTACCTATTTCTACAGACTCTGAGCAGTGATAGTAATGGCAACCTCTAGACTGGACTGTTTTAAGATGCTTTATATCATGGATCTGATTTCCAAGGTTCAGAAATTAGTTAGTTCTACCTGTAATAGCTAGATTATACCTATGATTACATTGCACAATTTCCAAGATTGTTTTAATGGACAAAATTATGACTCCTCACAGCCACTTGATGAACTTTCCCCCTCCCATCTGAATGAACCCAACAAATGTCAGTTATTTTTCCAAAGTTTAGGAGAAGAGGAAAGGTGCCTACAGATGGGAAGCAGGGATCATGTGCCACCTTATCACCCTGCTATCTCATCTGCTATTTCCATTTCTAATCAGAATTAGTTATTTTGAGCAATAGTTACTTGTCTTGCTGATCATGTAATCTGTGTTACATACTGATTTATTTGACATTACAGATTCAGGTGGGAAATGAAGTATTAGCAATGTTCCTGTTTTCATGCAAATATCCTTCATAATTAAAAATTGCACAAAGATCAAAAATATGGCATGTGCAATGAAGTTTTTTGTATTTCTCCCCCCACCTCAGTTTTGCACCAGTCATCAGCTGTTGCTTAAAATTAAAACTTTAAATATGCATCTAATTTGAGCTTAATGTGAAAATTATACATCATACTGAATAAATACTAGTTTATCATTACAACCTGTTCACTGGGAATGAAAACCCATGCAGAATATTACTTATAAAGTGTTTGTTAAATAAGGTGCATTTATACAGGCACAATAAGGGATTAGATGAAAACTCTCAACTTTAACTGTTATAATGAGTGACTCATTGTAGCTTAAAGGCTTGTTAAGACAGCAAGATGGTACTGGAGTCTCTTGAAAATTGTAATTCTTCTGGCTACCTTTGAATTTTTCCTCATCCCCTAACTTGAAGGATTCTAACCCCAGGAATGTCTTCAAATAGTAATTAGTGCAGCTTTGAGGCAATTCTTTTTATTCTATTTGCTCCCCCATCTTTCAGTCATAGAATATTTGCATTTGGGGCATACAGCATAACTCTTGATGTTCCAGTCATCATTTTTTTCCACATTTCATACCTCTCTAATTTTTTTTTCTGGAATTATACCTGTTTACTCACCCCACCTTCTTCCTTGGATGTTTTATTTTACTTTTTTCCCCCATGCCCTATTTCCCCCATGAAACAGCTTTCCATTTCTACTTTTTCTCAAACAATCCTTGGTATCACCTCACTTTTCTGAGGTAAGTTGCAGTTACTCCAGTTATACTGAATGCCTGGAACATTTATGTCAATTTCCTTGTATGCTACCAGCTCTTTGTGAGAGAAGAAAGTTTACAGGAGGCTGTGGGTGTAGAGAGCAACAAAGATGATCTTGACAGAAATATCAGGAATGATTACCTAGGCAAAAGAGGCTGAAACATTTCTTAAGTCCAGAACAACAAGATAGCATTTGAAAGTGACTCAGACAGTCACCTCTCTAATTCACTGAACTATAAGAAGGAGGAGGTACAGCACAATCAGACTTGGAAAATTCTGCTATTATAGCCAGTCTTAACAAAAGTAGTTTTAACTTTCATGTGGAGTTGATTTCTGGTGTGATCTACCCAGTGGACTGACTGTGTAATGGTGGGGTCTGATTTTGGTTATACTTTTTGGAATTAGTGGAATTAGTCAGCAATTGCATGGGCTGGTTGAGATCTTGCCTGGTAGCCAGAATGTATTTGTAGGAAGTATAACCATCAGAGTAGATGTAAAACACCCCCCTCCCCAAATATCACATTTGGAAGGGGAAAAAAACCCATAAAATGAACAATAGTAGTGTCATTCTAAACAAATAATAGAACAGATGTATTTTTTTCTTTTCTTGAAGTGTATTTATAGTACCAAACTGGTTCCTTTCCTTTCCTTTCCTTTCCTTTCCTTTCCTTTCCTTTCCTTTCCTTTCCTTTCCTTTCCTTTCCTTTCCTTTCAGTATATTTATAATATTCCTGGCTGATACTTCCAAATCTTTCCCTGCATTCACCTATGACTGAAAAATATCTGCATATCATATGTCTTT